TTTTCTCTTAAGGAATATGAAACAGCCTTTTCTTTTCTAAAAAAAAATAAATCACCTGGCTTTAATGACGTTTCTAGTAATATAGTTATTTTAAACAAAAATTACATTTCCAGACCTTTGATCCATATTATAAAACTTTCAATAAATGAAGGTATTTTCTCTGAAGCACTAAAGTTGGCAAAAGTATGCCCAATTTACAAAAACAAAGATCAATCAGAAATCTCGAATTATAGACCTGTATCAGTACTTTCTGTATTCCAAAATATTCGAATGTGTAATCTATAATAGAATTTATAACCATTTTATTATTTATTATTATTATAACCAATTAAATGCTGATAGACATTTATTTCAAACACATTCATTAAGGGTTTAGCGTGTTCACGCCTATCCTTATAGTAAATGATTCTGCAAGCATGTTTTTGCAAACTATACAGTTTTTTAAGCTTTGATGTTTGAGTACTTGCCCATAAAATGTTTGCATAGCTGATGAAGCTATGTATTAGCCCAAAGTAGATTAATTTCAGACTTTGTGTATTGTGACGTAAGAGCGAACTCGATACATCAAACCTATGATTTTAGTGATTTTTGACTGGATGTATATTATATGAGGAACCCAGGATAAATTTTCATCAACAATTATTCCTAAGAATTTTATATTGGATTGCTTTTTAATTAATTTATCATTTAGGAATAGTTTAGGCAATTTGAGAGGAAGATTTTCCTCTTGTATTTGTTTATGGAATAGTATATAATTTGTTTTCTCAGCATTAAGAGAGAGTTTGTTAGCTTTAAACCAGTTGTTTAGTTTAACTAGTTCTATATTCATGTCAGCATATAATGTTTTGATATCATTGTTGGTAAGAAATAGATTTGTATCATCTGCAAACATGACTGAGTTCAGTTTTAAGGATGCATTGCAGAAGTCATTTATATATATAAGAAAAAGGAGTGGACCAAGAATTGATCCCTGCGGGACACCACACAAAACATTTAATACTCCAGAGTGGACATTATGTACATATTGTTTTCTGTTGGTAAGATAACTTTTAATCCAATAATAGGTTTTATCAACTATTCCGTAATGTTTTATTTTATCTAAGAGAATGCAATGATCCACTGAATCAAATGCTTTTGATAAATCAAGAAATACTTCTAAAGTAAGCTTATTATTTTCAAAACCATTAGTTATTTGATTTACTATTTTAATAATTGCATGCTCAGTTGAAAAATTTTTTTTGAAAACCAAACTGATTTGAGTAAAAAAAATTGTTTTTAATAAAGTAATCATAGATTCTATTATAAACTACACATTCGAAGAGTTTTGAAAATACAGAAAGTATTGATATTGGTCTGTAGTTTGTAATGTCAGAATGATCATTACATTTGTATAAAGGAGTTACTTTTGCTAATTATAGTACATCCGGAAAAATCCCAGAATTTAATGAGAGCTTTAGTATATGTATCAGAGGCAAAAGCTGCCTCAAATTCGTCATAGCTTAATTCGTAATCATGCATTATAACGTTATTCGTGGGTTTAAGATAGTTTTTAAAAGATTCAAGTGTTGGTATTATTTTTTTGACAAGGTTCGAACCAATACTAATAAAATATTTATTAAATTCATCCGAGATGAGTTTTTGACAAAATATATCGTTGTTATCAATAACAATTCATTTAGGTAGTAAAGGTGAATTTAGTTTTTCTCTTCCCATTATTGCATTAAGGATGGACCATATTTTTTTGCTATCAAATTTACATTTGTTAATTTGATTACTTTAATATTTTTTTTTTGGCATTTTTAATGAGATCTTGATAAAAATATTTACAACTTGTAATTTTTTTCATTATTATTGTTTTTATTTTTCAGAAATTTGTTGTAAAGTTTTTGCTTTTTTTTGAGCACTTTAATAATGATTTATCCATCCACGGATTAGCCAGAGCTTTTGACTTAATTTTTATAATCTGTTGCGGACAGGTTTCGTTAAAATACTCCAAAAATTTACTTAAAAAAGCATTGTAAGCTTCATTAGTATCTTGACATTTATACGTTGTTCCAAGTTTCTTGTTTTAGCCTACTTGTTAACTTATCAGTGTTACTCATTTTTAAATTTCGTTTTTTCAAATGTATGGTTTTAGATTGACAGTCAGACTTAGATTTATAGTTTTTTATTTTTAAGAATATCGGGAAATGATCGCTTATATCTGCCTTACATGGCGTCCTATGATTCAACCGAATCCCTAATTTCAATTTAGAACCGTATATGAGAAATTTATTACACAACCGAAAATATTTACGAAAAAAATTAGAACCGAAAAAACTTCAATCGAATTTTCGATCGAAAGTCATTAATGGTTTTAGAACCGAAAAAATTTCGATCGAATTTTCGATCGAAAGTCATTAATGATTTTAGAACCGAATTTCATTAAAATGGTTCACAACCGAAAGTTACACTGTTATCAAACACGATGAGGGAAAACGAAGAATAATGAATGAAAAGGTTGCTGACCCATACCAAACCCTCATTCGATGTAGCAGCACTCCACTGCGAGTCAGGCTATTTGTCAGTCGATGTATGCACTGAAGCCCCCAGCAGCAGGCTATTTGACGTTAGGTGAGTATGACATCATCATGCTCACCTAACTCTGCATTATAAGATATATGTATATATATTTTAAAGAAATTTTAATCGTTTATTTTATTGTAAAACGACTAACTGAAAAAAAAAAATAGATTAATAAAAGAAAGGATTTTGTAATTCGATCCAAATTTTTTCGGTTGTAAAATTCGGTTTAAAAACTTTCGGCGCAAGAAAGGATTTTGTAATTCGATCCTGCAATGAAAGTATACTTTTCGGTTCTAAAATTTTCGGTTGTGAAATATTTCGGTGATATTTTCGAGGATAAATATTTTCGGCTCTATCATGTGACACGCCTTACATATACCGGTTTCGAATGTCGTTTCTAAATAATTGTTAATTAAAATATTGTCTATTGCTGTTGCCGAAATTTTTGTTACACCCGTTGGTTTATTAATAGTTGACAAGACATTAAACTTAAAAAGCATATCAAAAAAAGATTTTATTTTTGGAAATTTAGTGTTAGATAAAACATCAAGATTTATGTCACCAGTTTTATTTTCTTTATTTATTTTCATAATTGTATTTTTGATCCAATAAAAATATTTCGGTATTTTTTATTAATAATTTCAATGAAGAGACTTTCATAATTATTATTTGAAAAGCATAATATGTTTTTTTATTTTAAAAACATTCTTTTCTAAAACATAAATTCCTAATCCTCCTCCTTTTTTCCCACTTTCTCGTGATTGACTAATTAGTTTGTAAAATGGTAAAATATAATTAAAATTTGATTCAAGAGAACTTTCTGTATCATGCCATGTCTCTGAAAGAGATATGACATCGAACGTGTAGTTTAAAATATTTAAAAATTCTTTAAGTTTATCAAAATTTTGCTGCATGCTTTTAATATTTATATGCAATACAGAAAATGAGCAATCATCTTTTAATACTTTAAAAACAAAAGGATCAATATACGGTGTATTAATTAAGTTCATTTGAGTTTCTTGAAAAATATTTCTGTTTTCTTGAGGTTATTTATAAAGTTGTCCTCAAAAAGATTTAAATTTAAATTTTTAAAATCTAGTTTTTGTGAAAAAGGCGCCATTTTAATATTTTTTTATTTTTAATATATAGTTTAAAAATACTTAAAATAATATAAAAAAAAAAAAAACTATACTCAAAATGCTTACTCATTTACGCTAGTCGAATTAACATCTGTGTTGCGGGTGCTTCCTCGAAATTCATGCACAATAAGTTAGTTGTAAACAACTTTTGCGTAATAGCCATTTTGACGATGTATCTTCGCTTTGTCAAAAAGTTCTTTTCGAATTTTTCGCGTTGTAAAACTAAAATCTTCGTTTAGAAAAATGGTTCCTTTTAATTTTATTACTCTTTCCATAATTGTTTTCTTATCCTCGTAATCACGTAGTTTTAAGACAATTGTTCGCTCTCGTTTTTCCTTAGCTATTCCCACTCGATGAGCCCGTTCAATAACAATATCTTTTTCAATACCAAGGTTTTTTTTAAATAGTTGTTTTACCTTTTTTTTTGTAATTTCCCATTCCTTTTCTTCGCTATTTTCTACAATGCCGTCAATTATTAAATTGTTTCAAACTTTTCATTTATGTTCAATAGCGATTCGCGGAAAAAAGATAAAATTGTTTCTTTTTGAATATTTAGCACCTCTCTCATCATAGCGATTGAGACAAACTCTTCTGATTTAGACATACCAATTTAAAAAATCAAAATACGTAATAAAATTTTTTTTTTTTTTTCTCTAAGAAAAACGCGTCTGTTCGCCACGATGTTCTCTTTTCAAAAAAAAAGTGTTACAACTTATACTCTCAAATGATATTGGATCTAAATAACTATTTTCAAGCAAGTAGAACATTTATCAATTATTAATCTGATACAAACTGTTAAATTCTTGCAGACGCTTCCACGAGGTTATTTTACCATCGGAATCTGATTATTTTACCATCGGAATCTGATTATTTTACCATCAGAATCTGATACCATTGGAATCATTTGTATTCCAGGACCGTATCAAAGCAGGGTCTGATTGGGCTGCAGTCCTAGATCCTTAGAAAAAATGGGGCTCTCTAACTCGTAACCTTTTTTGTTATTTTCAAGGAACCAGAAAACTTTTTTTTGTTGTTGCTTGTTTCTCCGTTTTAACAAACAACTTCTTTGAAACTTAATTAATGCTGCAAACCTTCAAGTTATCAGCCATTAAATTTTTTAACAATTCTTTACTATTTGACTATTCTAACTACTAACTTACAATGTTGCATCTTTGATGGTTGTGATTCTTTCAAAAAAATTGTAATGCTAAAGAACTTTTTTTTAAAAAAAAAAAAAATAAAAATAAATAACAAAATCTATTTATTAAATAATTAACTAAAACATGAACTATGAACTAATAAAATGATGATATATTTAAAAGATAGCATATTAATGTGTTACAAATATAAGACAGGTTTATGTTTGTTTAGAAAATATATCAAACTGGGAAATAGGAATCTCAGCTTGGTTTTCAATATTTGGATCTTTTTGCTTGAACGAAGAGAATCCAAAAAGACTACGGCTTAATACTAGCTGCTTAGCGTAGGAATAATCACACGACCCTATATCTTTGCACGACCCTATATCTTGGTCGCACATGGTGCTATCGTCGGTAAATTTTTCGCTTTGATCAAAAGGAATGTCGTAACTTATATTTTGCGATGACATATTATTTTCACTAAACATTGTGTATAGACCATATCCTAGATTAGATATAGATATGTTTTCTTCTATACTGTCATTTTTGAAATCCATATTTTTATCAAAGTATCGACTTTTACCAAATGATGCGTTTTGTTGAATCGTGAATTTTTTTTTATCTAAAAATTTTAATTTATTAAAATAAAACATTATTAAAAAAAAATACATGCGTACATACATACATACATACATACATACATACATACATACATACATACATACATACATACATACATACATACATACATACATACATACATACATACATACATACATACATACATACATACATACATACATACAAACTAGCCAGATTTTATGTGGTGGCCAATAACTCAATCTAATTTTGAAGTTTCGTAAATCGCGTATATTATGACGTTTTTGGTTTTCAACCGACAACTTTTGATTTTTATACTTTCATCTAATTAAAATATGTACGACTAATTTTCCAACCTACTAAATAGTTGACCTACTGAATTTTCAATTTTATAACTACGTTTTTCCGGAATGTATTTTGCATATTTTGTTGTTGATTTGAAAATAACCAAAATTTGATCAGTCTTGGCGCAGTGGTTGAAGCGCTGTCTTCAGAATCGGGAGATTTATGGTTCTTTGAATGCTTGAAAAACTTATTGATTGTTAATTTAAAAAAAAATTTGTAGTTTGAAAAAAGCAACGTTAAAAATACAGTCCAGATAGTTGGTTAAAAATAAGATCTACGTTTTAATTTTATATGGACAAAGTGCAGAACTTTATTTAGTTGGTGCACAAAAGCGTGCACCACCGAAAGACGAACCTCAATTACTTGATTTACTAGCCTGAAACGGAATCCTTTCGGTCGCGCTAACATTGTAAGTCGCTAGAAAATTATATTTACAAAAAATAATTTTTTTGCATGTACATACCGAAAGAATAACTATTTAAAATTGGGATAATGTTTAGGACGTAGCGATGTTAATTTATGCAGTTTTACACGGAACTATAGGTATGAAAAAAATTAATTAAACAGACTAAAAAGTACTAATTAATTAACTCAAAGAAGCTAAGAAAATTATAGACATTATATTTAAAATCTTTAAAAAAATATTTTTTGGGTGGAAAGGGGGTTACAAAATTATTGCTTTCTTTTTTTTTTTTGGGGGGGGGGGGGGTAAGAGGAGTAGGGATCAACAAAATGTTACGAGTGTTTAGAAGGAAGGTAGGGGGTTAAGGTTGAAAGGGGGTCAGAAAATGTCAAAAATTGCGTGACGTAACTTATGGACGACCCCTTAGGTTGTTACAAAAGTTTGTAGAAATTTGTCTATAAAGTTGCAATAAGACAGGAAACAATTAAATATTTATATGTCACTTTAATTAATTATGAATTTTATTTAATTATCTCATATTTAATTATGAACTATTTAAAAAATTTTTTTTAGAATGTGTATTAAAAATGTTGTTTAATTTTTATTAAATACATTTAAAGGAAAATTTTAAAAACGAAAAGAAAAGAATATCGAGCATATATTAAAATCTGTGCTCACCTCGGAAATTCAATACTAACCATAACCTAAAATTTTTAGCTCATAGCAACCAAGGACCAAAATTAGTTCTGTCGCCAAGTGTGCTGCTCTTTTTCAAGACGAGTCATGGTTTTATTTTAAACAAGTCGGAAACAAGTCGGCTAACACTTGTTGGGTTGGTACAGGGAAAAATTCAAGAACTATTGTAAGATACGATAAATTTAAGCCGAAAAATATGTTTTACATCTTCTTCAAAACAACAAGTTTTTTCAATTGGGTCATGCTAGAAAGGGAGATACCGTTGTTATTCAATACAATGTACAAAACTATTTAAAACCGAAATAAATAAGACAAGACGTTTAATAAGCGGTCAATTTTATAAATTTCTCCATGATAACACTCAACTCCATGTAACTCAAACTGCGACAAATATCTTGAACAAGAAAAAGGCTAGGTATATGCTACTAAAAGAAAATAAGCAAGTTAATAGAGTTCATGCTAAAAAATCTATTTCCGTGATGCATTTGCTAAGGAAATATATTTTATATGCACCTTTTACATAATCAGGCTTCATCTATAGGAGTATCTCGATAGGCACAAAATATTGCTTGGTTCAATAAAATTACAAGAAGATGTTTTAGGATATGTTTATATTAATTTATACGATACCTTTTTTGTAATAATTTAAAAAAATACAGTTACTTACAAATAATATTTAATCTACTATTTTATTGTCTGAATTTCTCATTTCAGATTAATGCAGTTTTTTGTGTTGAACTTTGTGATCAGAGACGGATTTAAACCCTGTCAAGTACTCGAAATGACTGTGAAAAATGATAAATATAAATACTAGAATTATGATGTCTACCACCCACATACTATTAGACTGCCGATTTTTGTTAAAAAATTTATTTTCAAAAAAGTTTACTGTAAAAAATATGATTTGCAGAGTGCAATTTATTTTACATACTTGAAAATGTAAATTATCCTTAGAATATGAGAAATTTGGATAAGTTATTCGGTTTTTTGATATTAAAATTAAGAGTATAATTTGTTTTTCTTCAAAAAAAAAAAAAAAAGACCTTGAGAAAAAAGTGTGTGTGTGGGGGGGGGGGGAAGGAGTGGCGGCTCGTTGTTGTCTGCTAGATAATTTATTTTTAAACAAATTATACTCTTAATTTTAATATCAAAAAACCAATTAACTTATCCAATTTTCTCATATCCTAAGGGTAATTTACATTTTCAAGTATTGTAAAATAAATTTCCCAACCTCTGCAAATCATAGTTTTCACAGTAAACGTTTTTGAGAATAATTTTTTTTATAGAAATCGACAATTATGGCCCCTTCCCCCACTTCGAAATCTGTGTCGTTGGCCTTCTCTAGTGTAAACTACACTTTGAAGCATCTGCAGCAACTAGCATTTGATTGGTTGCGAATGTATTTTTTTGTGGGCACATGCTTGCCCAGGCCATATTACCATAGCTTAGGTGACTATGTATTAATGAAAAGTATAAACTTTTTAAGAAAATGATATTAAGGAAAGGTTTTGCTTTATACATTAATAAAATATTTTTTGAGAGCTTTCTCTCTAAAGTGTTTACATGGAGCTTCCATGACAAATTTTCATCCAAGACTACATCTAGAATGTTTATGAAAGTTTCTCTTTTTATCTTAGAATTATTTATTTTTAGATCAGGTAGTTTAAGAGGAATATTTTCATTTTTATTTGGTTTATGAAAAAGAATGAATTTGGTTTTTTTGACATTCAAAGAAAGTTTGTTACGCCTGAACCACTCGTTTATTTTATGTAATTCTTTGTTAACTATGTTAAAAAGTGTCTTAATGTCTTTATGTGAATAAAACAAATTGGAGTCATCCGCAAACAAGATTAAATTTAATAAGTTTGATGTTAAATATAAATCATTTATATAGAGTAAAAATAATCATGGTCCCAAGATCGAGCCTTGGGGAACCCCGCAAGTTATGGCGCCACTTGTTGTTTTTGTTGTTTCAAGCTGAATATATTGCTTTCTGTTTGATAAATAATCTTTAAATCAAAGTAAGTTATTATTTTTTACTCTATACCATTTAAGTTTTTTTAGAAGAATCTTGTAATTTACAGTGTCAAAAGCTTTAGAAAGATCAATAAAAACTCCTAACGTAAAGCAATCATTACTAAAAGCATCAGATATTTGATTAACTAGCTCAATTATAGCATGGTCATTTGAGTGGTTTTTTTTAAATCCAAATTGTTTACCATAGAAAAAATTGTTTTCCGTCAAATAATTGTAAAGTCTATTATACCTGACGCCTTCTAGTAATTTGGAAAAAATTTGGTATAACTAATATAGGTCATTATTATTGTTATTATGTATTTCGCCGATAAAAAAAGTTTACAAGTTTGTGCAATACAATATGTAATACATGGCTGGGGCAAGAAGAAGACTAGTTTAGTCTTATCACCAAGCCCCTTTAAATAAAACTGTCAATATTAAAAATACTAAACAAAGTAACTCGTTAAATAAACGTTAAATAAAACGTTGCGTTTAAATAAAATAACGTTAAATAAAATGTAACGTTAAGTAAAAATAAAATAAAATACATTTTCGCTATGTTAGAGTATAATATATCCAAAAGTATAAGAACATTTTATTCATTTTTTCTAAATTTATAAACCTCGAATTTAGATCATAAAATAACAGATAATACACGAATAACAGACAAAACAAAAAACAAACATTTTTAAAAACATATATGTTTTTTATTAAAGTTTATTATATAAAAAAAAAAAAAAAAAAAAAACGTCATAGTGTTTAAATTGACTAACAGTATATACACAATATATACTTAAACCATATTTATAAAGAAATAAAATAAATAGACAAACGTGATTACTCCTAGTCAAAAGATTCAGAAAAATTTTAATTCGTTGTCATTTATTAAAAGCTTTTGCTTAAGTTTGTTTTTAAAATGTTTAATAAAAAAAATAGTTATTAAACATTTTTTTTAAAGGTCTATAATTATTTAAGGTAACAAATTAAAAAACCACAAATAGTCATTAAGACTAATCCAAAGTAGCTTCCGTTATTGACCAACATTTTTGCGTACCGAAGTACTACTCAAGCGCTGAGTTGGCGGTGGCAGGATTTGAACTCGTATCTTACAACAGTCCGGGTTTAAATATTTTGTTCTACGCTCTTACCAACTGAACTATCCAGCTCATACTAATGTCATTTAAGAATGCTTTGCCTAAAATTGCGTTGATTAGAGCCTGGGAACAAAAATACCCTAAAAAGTAAGCATCACCCACCCAAATGAGAATGGAAATAATTTTTCCAAAAAAAAAAGTTAATAAAAATCAAATGTGTATATTCTATATTTGTGTGTTATAATCTATATTTAAAATTTGATCAAAAAATCATCTAGCGTACAAAAGTTATAGCCATTTAGAGTTTAGAGCCCCCTCAAAACGAGGGGGTCGTAAATTTAAACTGGGTATAATTTCTAAACAATATAATATTTTTCAAAAAAGATCTAGAACCTTAACGATATCACCACCAAATTTAGGATATTAGAATTTATATTCAGAAAAAACAATTCCCCCACAATTGGGCAG